GGAAAAAAGGGTGTTTGATGCTACACACGAGGAAATGTAGAGAAGGATGGATGTTGAAGTATATAAAATAAAAATGTATTCTACAATTTAACCTTTTTTTCTGCTTTGGCTGCTGATATTGCTTTCTCCAGAGAGGTCTCACTTTATTTATTCTTACCTTCCGTCCCTCTTTCTTTCCACTTGAATTTAAAAAGTAGAAAAAAAAGAGTTCTAAAGACGAGTTATTTTCAGTGTCGAGGGAATTTTTCATTCCATTTTCTGTTTACTTTTTTAGCGTCATTTTTAAGGAGGAGATTTGACAGATTGCTGTTGTGGTTTATTAGTTGAAAAAAATATAAATATGCACCTATTAAGCAGAAGTATGCAAATTAACCTTTTTTATATTTTTAATAATTTTATCGTTTTATTGAATAATGTAATTTATTTAATTTGTAATAAGTTGGCTAAAAGCGGCTTAAAATCATTTTTGACTTAAGTTTATGATCAAAAAAGTCAGAGTAGTTTAATAAAACGTTAAATTTGCAAATTTAAATATTAAAAATGCGCCATCAAACACAAAAACCCCAAAACTTTCCCAAATCAATTTAAACTTTCTTTCCTCTTTTTTTTAAAGAGACCAAAATCAAATGATATTTTTTCTTCGTACTCTATTGAATTTGAAAGTAGATAAGAATGAAAAAGGAAAGAAATTTTAAAGTAAGAAAGTTAAAAGCTTTTTTTTCCCATTCTTTCTTCTTATTTGTTAAAAATCGATGAATTGGAAATATGTTCTTTATTTTATTTCATATCAGAGGCGTTATTGCGGTCAAGATGAGTAAGACATAAGAAATCAGAGAGAAAGGAAACAGATGAGATAGAGTTGTGAATCAATAAAAATGTTAAATTTATTTTTTAAAGAGAAGAATTTTAAAATTATTTTGGAGAAGAAGTTTGTTGATTGCAAAAATTGGATTGAAATTTTATTATTTTATTGAATTTTCCAGCAATAGAATTAGATTTTTAAACAATTTTTTTATTCAAACCTTTAACAAAAATTTCAAAGGAAAGTTGAACTTCTCAAATCTTGAAAAAATTGATTTTTCTTTCAAAAAAATCATCTTAATCCATTCATCAAAAATTCCATCACTCCAAAAAATCCTATTTCTTTAATAAAAATAAAGACTTTGATTGTTCTCAGTCAAGAAAATTTGTTAACATCCTTAATATGCCTGAAGCACCCTCAAAAGACACTTTAATCCTTTAATCCAGTCAAACATCTCATAAAAATATTCTCTTTCCTTCCTAACTGAAGGATTTTCTTTCAATTTTACTTAAATGCATTCGATTCTCATTTTTCGAGCAGTTGATTTTCGGCCAGTTTTCATCTCTCGTGGAAATTCGTGAAAATTCAAAAAATATTTCTCTTTCTCATTTTCTCTCAAATTTTCTTCTCGTCCAATAAAAATCGTCTATTTCTTCTTAAGAAATGTGAAAGACGTGCGAAAAAAGAAATGTTGAAGATGAGCGAGAAAAAAATGATAACAAATGATAATGAGGAGGAAGAAGAAGTTGGAAAATTAGAAACGTTTTTGCGGATTTAAATTGAAATTTTTTTAAATGAATTTCTTGGATTTTCGGGAAAATTGAATTGAATTTGTGAATGTTTGTTGGATATTATTGATAAGTTTTGAATACATTAAAGTTTTTTTTCGAAAATTTTTAAAAAATAGATTTTTCATAAATTATATTTTAAACTTTTTAATCTATTTTTAACCATTTTTATCAGGTACAGAGTATACAGGACCTTAATACAAAAAAGAGTTGACTTTAAATTGTATAAAATGATAGAATTTATGAAAATTTGGTTCAAAATTTTGAATGTTGTGTTAGAAAGAATTGAATTGAAATTTTCAAAGATAAATTTCAAATTTTTAAAGAAAAATCATTTTAAAAATTTCAATAAATCCAAAAAATTAAAGCTTTTCTCATCAAAAAAAAAAAAAAAACAAAAAAAAAAACTATTTTTCATTAATAAGGTTCAAAAATTTGAATTCTTAATTATTCGTGGCAGTGAAAATTCTTACAAACATTGGATAAAAAAGAAAATTGTAATCACAGCCAACCCGAGAGAAAAATGAGCAAACATGATCCAGAGAGAAATAAAAAGCAGAGAGCATAAAAGGAACTCTCGCATAAACGAAAATTGCATTAAAATACATGCGGTCTACACAGAGGAGCGGACAAGAAAGAAGGAAAGAAGAAAAACTAGAGATAGTAAAATGTGCTTTGTCGTTAAAGAGGGAAAAAAAATTGTTCAGAAGCACACAACACGATAGAAAACAAACATAAAAGGATAACGTTTCTGAATTCAGTCGCTATCGGCATTTAGTCGCGTTTGCATTGAAAATTTTACGCTCGGCGTGTGACTCGGATTTGTGAGATCATTATTGGAGTGAATAAATTGAAAAATGTGTGAACTAAAATAATAAAAGAAAATTATAAAAATCAAGGTGGAAAAATTATAAAAAAATTAAAAATTTACTTCCTTATAAATTTAATTTTCCATTTCAATAATTTTGGAGAAAAGCTCAAAAAGACCAAGAATCTTTTATGTGTGTTGTTTGCTGAAATGGAAAATATTTGACTGACCTTAATTTATTTACTATTCATATCTACTCTAGTAAGATTTTTTAAGCAAAAAATTCTGTTGATGATGCTTATGAATTTGCTTGAAATTCTAGGGATTTTGTAAGAGAAAAAATCTGCTTTGTTTTATTTGTTAGATTAAGTTGAATATTTCATGAGCTTTTGAAATCTTTTGTTGAGTAAAAACAATTTCATGTTCTGAATTTTTGTAGTGGAAATTGCATTTTATTTTTGATGAGAATTTTTCTGCTAACCAGAATAATTACTAGAAAATTTCTGAAAATTTTAAAAATCCTTCATAGTTGAATCAGCTATACGTACTTTATAACGATTCATTGGGTTTTCAAGAGATTTAATTGATGAATTTTGAAAAAATACGCTGCGGTGATTTTTGAAGTTTTCATGCTGTAAAAAATAATTTTTTGAATTTTAAAAACTTTCATAACAAGTTTGATATATGTTCAATCCTAAATCAAATTTGAACTAATTGCATTCAAAAAATTTCAACAATTCAACCTTAAAAATCTAATTAATTTATTCTTCGTTCTCAAATATTCAATTTATATCCACAAATATTTTTAAAAATTCTTTTAAATAAATCATCAAACGTCAAATAGCGAAATTATTATAATGAGCTTAGTGCAAAATTTAATAATTATCAAGAATTGCAATCTAATTATGTCAACAGTTGTGAATTATTTCTATTGACTCTGCTCAAAATTGATTTTTTTTTTAATGAGTTCACGAACGTTTAATTAAAATTGTTTTAAAAAATATATTTGTGTCTGCAATTTGTAAGAAGTGACAGTTTTTAAGTTAAGTTTTTCGTGATGTTTTGGAGCTGAAAAGATTTTTGGATGAAATTTTGATATTTTATGAAAGAGTTATTGAGTTTTTGATTTTTATAATAATAATTTGATAGGTGTCAATATCTTAAGATTTCAAAGAATTCAAAAAAAAAATATTCCTACTGAATTTCTAAAATTCAATAAGTGAACTTCTAAACCTTTAAAATTCTGAACAAAAATAAATTCAAATAAATCCAAAAATATTTAATTCAAATTTTTAAAAATTCCACATAAAAATAAAGTTAATCTTCTAAATTGTCAATTCAAAGAAACCACATCAATAGCCTCAAACATCAATAACTAATATCATAAATTTCACAATAAAAATTACAAACCAAAAATCTGAGGAAAGTAGTCATTCATAAAATAGGAAACCAATCCGAGTTGAAGTCTATTGATTTCCATTCAATTCTACACTGCAAATTTTCTAACTATCAACCATATATCAAAAGAGTATGATGATGATGTCTACTGGCCTCAAACCGTACATTTTTTACATTTCAATATATTTTTTCCCAGTAGTTTCTATTTACTCTTACCATGTTCAGTCAAATAAAAGGCAGCAATTGATATGGAACAGGGGCGTAGCCAGAAAATTCTTAAAGGGGGGGCCTATTGTAAAAAATTAAAAAACCGTTATTTTGTATCCTTAAATCTATATTCATTCTTCATAAGTTTAAATATTTAATTCATTATTAATACATTAAATTTAATTTTTCGTTCTGATTTTGACATTTCTTTCATCACTTCCTCTACATTAACTGGTTCTTCTCTATAAATACTTAATAAAACAATTATCAGATTTTCGTAGGGGGGGCCCGGGCCCCCTATGGCCCCCCCCTGGCTACGCCCCTGATATGGAAACATAAAAAAATGATGTTAGAGAGATTGCATCGCTTGGATTGAAAAGAATAGATAGCTCACAACATGTTTCATATTTTCTAACTCGATTTTTTTAATTAAACGAAATTTCATAAAGTGATTCAGTCTTGTATGAACATTTTTTTACATTTATGGATGAGGATTTTCAGTGATTTTTTTTTGATATGTTTGAAAACTTTTTTTGAATGTTTGATGGAATTTTGTGGTTTCTTAAAGGAATTAAAATTTGTTTTATTAAGAAGTTGAGTTTTGAAAAGGTTTGACAAAGTCAGAATTGCAATTTTATTTTAAAAAAAGTCTTAAAATATTTTAAGGCATTTTTCAAAAATTAAAAATTATTTTTGTTATTTGGAAGTAAAAATCGTTAAGTTTAAAAATGATTAAAATTCTGAAAATTTTCTTTAATGTCGCATTCATAAGATTTTGGTCGTTGTCTTGAGAAATTTCTTTTCGAATTAATTGAATTTGAATTTTTCATTTAGATGAGCAATCAAACTTTAAACTACTAAACATCTTTTAAATATAAAAGTGACTAAAAAGCTAGCTCTTTAAAAACTCATATAAAAATTCCGTAAAATTAATAACAAACAAATCGTTGAACAAAATATTTGCTATATGAACCATTTTTAATTCCTACAAATAAAAATTTAAACACAACAGAAACAATTGTGAAAAAATAAAACTTATGGATGGTGTAAAAAATTCTCAGTAAATCTACAATAAACAACAGCACAAAAGAGCGTAGTGAGATAAAAAAAGAAAAAATTTCACAATAAGCATTATTCAAAAGCATAGTGAGACAATATAAATAATAAAAAGCAGCATCATTTCATGAGGAAAAAATGGGACTTTTAACATATGCATGTGCATTGTTTGCGCTGCAGCTAATTCAATTACCAGGTGAGAAAAATATATATTTTTTTAACAGACTAATTTATGGTTTTTGTGTGTGTTTTACACTAATTTTCTCGTTTGCTTTAATCGCTATGGACGGGGATTTAATGTTGGGTTGTTCTGAAAACTTTGTTGAACTTTAAATTCTGGAATTTTCTATTTTATTGATTTTTAATTTATAATTATTTGAGGTGTTTCTCATTATTTGAGGTCTTGGTCACTCTCTAGTCCTTGTTAATATCCTTGATCTTGGTTTAGGTACAAAAAAACTTAAAAAACTTCATGAAAATCCTCTCAAAACACTTCGAACAACCAAGAAAAAAAAACCGTCTCGAACAACAAATAACTCTTGTATCATCCCTTAAATACACCACCAGACATAAAGTCCCAGTAAATAAAAACACAAACTTTTAATCCTTCATGAATTTCATTTTATTTAACGTAAAAGCGAGAGTGTAGCAAGTGGCTTTGTGGAATTATGAAGACAGTACATGGGAAACAAAATACTTGTTATATTGTGCTACGTTGTTAACTTAAAGTGAATGCAATTTTACTAAGAAAAAAAAAAAAATTCAGAATAAAAACTCATTGCAGCAATAAAATAAAAATTGAGTTGAAAATATAATAAATAATTTATGATTCATAAATGGAGCTTGGAAGCAGCTACTACTGCTGTTGTTTGTGTATTCATAAATATAATACTCAACGCTCAAGTGACACAAAGAAGGAGGAACAAAAAAAATTTGTCTTTGTGGGTGGAATTTATTTTTTAAAACTCAGAAACAGCATTTTGACATAAATAGAAACAAAGAGACTACTTTGAAGTATATAATAATTATAATTATAGGATAGTGTTATGAAATTAAGTCCTTCAATTTGTTTTCTCTTGTTCTTCATTGTTATAAAATTTTTAAGAGCATTAATAGCAAATTATGTAAAAGTTTTGAATGAATAACTATCGTCAAGCGTGTAAGCACGTGCAGGAGTAAGTCAGAGTTTATTTAAAGTTTTGATTTGTATCTTAAAATCGATAGAATCGATGGAAAACTGCTCATATACCATTGAATGTTCCTTATTAAAAAAAAAATACCAATTTAAAGGATCAACAAACTTCATCCCATCACCATCGACACAATAAACATAAAAATATTCTATTAGCATAATTCCTTTTTTTAAAACCATTACGAGCACTTGAAGCTCATTTCTTTCTCTCCTCATCATTGAATGAAACATTAGGTCATTAAGCACGAAATATTAATCGCTCTAAATATGCTATAGCATTCAACAGAGGAAACAATGAGCTGACACGCAAAACGACATTTAAATTTTTTAACGCTTTCAACAATGCACAACATTAAGTTTTATTCATATCCGCTACATTACTCCACCGCCAAACAAATTCTTACTTTCTCTCCACTCCGACAATATTTACTAAATTATGAATGAAACAAATTGCGAACAATTTTTTTTAAAGGTGTGAAACATGAGTGCAAAATTACCTATGTTTAAGTGCTACATAAAACACGTGTTGTATATGACGGGAGGTTGTTCATTTTTAGGATTTTCTCATTCACATCTAAATGATGAAAAAATGATGCTGAAAATGAAGAAATTTCGGTATTCACGATTCTGTTTTTATTTTTACGATTTTTTGATTGCAAGTGAATGAGCTTTGCGAGAGAAGAAGTAGGAACGGTAATGGAATGATGATGCATGGCTGAGAGAATTTAAAAAATAAATCTTCTTAAAAATCTGATTTTTTTTATGTGAAATGTTTTTATTTTATGGATGGTAAAATATTGTTGCATGTTGATGCAAGGCTTAAGGACTTTTGAGAGGATGTTGCTAGGTTTTTGTGTGGCGTTATCAATCATTGATGGAGGGTATAAGATCTGAAAATACTGAAAAGACTCGACTCGAAGAGACTCGACAGAGACTCGAACCCTATCGACATCGAGCTCTGCTTTAAACTGCCTTCTTTGATCAAGTTTGATAATCAGTCAGTTCAAGAAATCCAAAAATCAATTAAAAACATAGGAAAATTAATTTCCAGCAATCTTGACTCTTCAATTACAATCAATAATTACCCAACATCCAATAATCTCATTTATGATAACAATTACTCAAACATATCTCAAATCTCATCATAATTTAATTTCTACTTCAAAGATTGCAGCAAACAAAAGTCTTCAATAAATTTTCTCCCACATCCAATAGCATAAATGAAAGAGTAATCAATCAAGCAATAAGCATCAACAATATCCGTTTCAAACAAACCTTTATAACTGCGAATTGTTGGAGGGGAAAGATGGAGCTTTAGATAAATCAATTGAAGCATTAAAAGAAGATCCTGTTTGTGCAATTTCTCTCCTTTTTTTCTGCTGCTCTGCTAGAATTTCACTCGCTTGCATCCATTCACTCGTTCCTATAGATAGATTTGTTGTGAAAATCAATTGAACATAAAAGAAAGAATGGAAAGAAAAGGAATGAATGAAATCAGTGTTTCTACTTGGCTTCTACTTGCTTTTTTTTTCTGTGCAAATAATCCAATATTGTTTTCGTCTCTCGTTCTTTTCTGCATTTTTGTGCTCGTGTGATTTTTTTTTTTCATGCAATGGAGAAATTGGCTTGCTGTCGATTTGTTTGCTTTGCTGGCTGTCTGAAAGTTTTTGGGGAAGAATTCAATCAGTTTGGTTTGGTTAGAAACTTTTATCGTTGATTTTTGGCTTAAATGTAAATTTAGATTCACGTTTTGAGTCTTATTGAATAGAAAAGGCTGGATTTTAAAGGTTGGATTCGGAAAATTTAGGTTTAATTAAGCTAGTGATGGGCGGTGAAATGGCATCAGTGACCTAAATGGTAGAGCGTTGGCCTTCTGTGCCAAAGGTCCTGGGTTCAATCCCAGGCCATATCTAATTTTCGAAGCTCTTTTTCTATTTCACCGTTCTAGTTACGAAGCTCGGTTCGTGTGCTGGGTGTAGTATTGATGTCTTTGGCATAGAATATGCCTCTTTTGCTAGGTATACAAGGATAAACTAGCATCTGGATGACTTCTTTACGACATTTTGCGCACACGAATTGTGACTAGGTTCATTGCAGGGTACATCAGTTCATATTACGTACTCGTGTCTTTGCAATGTGCAGAGGTGCAAGTGGTTCAGATCCCACTATAAACTGTAGGTCTAAAGGGTGTGGCACAATAGATTCTGTTCTAATTTCAATCGCAATGCCTCCAGCTGAAAGGCTGGACCCTTCATACATTATTATTAAGCTAGTGATGTAATCAGCTTTGTCACATTGATGATACTTTTTGTGATGATTGAGAGTTTGATTTTTTGTGAGAATCGAACCAACGTTCTATAAATCTGTGGGTTTACCGCTCATCCACACAGTTCTTGCTCTTGCACCAGAAGATTTGCCTCAAATCAGACCTACATCCTTGATATCTTCTGAATTATATACCCAATTTTATCATTTTCAATGTCAAATTACTTAATATTTTTGTATTTCCAATAATTTCTCCATATTCCATTCCCCATCTGATTATCTCACTGAACTTCTTACTTCCTTGATTGCAAAACTAATAAAAAATCCGTTTGTTATTATTTTTCATTTGAAATTTATAGCTTTATGTGAAAATTTTTCTTCCTCAATTTTTTTTATTGTTTTCCTTTTCTCAACTCTCTTTTTCGGCAGGCATAAAGTGCATGTTATATCCTTTATGTGCATTTATTTGTTTCTTTTCGAAATTAGAAATTTTTTCATCATTGAACTCTTATATCCAATTTTCCTCATAATCTGTTATTGCTCTCGTCTGTCTTCACATTTCTATAATGCGGGACGCAGCTGCATTGCATAAAATTTGAAGAGGCAAAAAAAAATTGTTATTGCAAAATCCAATTTTCGTAAAAGATTTTTCTGGTGCATTCTTTTTCCAGTAATGGAAGTGCAGAAATTTTTGCTACTTACGAAAAAGTTTCATTTTAATGAAGTTCTTTGGATGGAAAGAAAGTTTTCCATTTTTATGGCTTCACTAATGAGTTGTGGGTTAGTTGATCTCGTAAGGATCTTTAAGATGCCATGAATATTAGAATTATAGCATAATTATGTGCTAATTCTTATGATTATGAGGATAAAACTTTTTAGGATGCTTATTTTATGAAGGTATTGCAGAGTGTGGAGGTGTAATTAATTCTAAAATAGAAAAAATTTAAATTGCGAATTTATTTAAAGACATTCTCTGACATAAAAGCTTGTTTTAGAAAATTTGAGTAATTGTTTAAGATTGCTCGTCATTGCAATCCATTAATATCATTAACCAGAGGCAGAGTGTGGTTTAAAAGTTTGTGGTTTGAATAAAAAACTCAAAAAATGAGGTTCAGGATGACTAGCGAACCATTTAAAGAATTTTCGCACCTACCTCCTCCAAATTCTTGTTCTTTGTTATTCAGAAGAATTATTTCCAATCTAGTCCAGTAGAAAAGTAATCTTCAAACATATCATATTGATTTATTCAAAATAAACGTGACAATCTCTAGTTCCTCTTAAAATATTACTCATATTCTTTCATCCATAATCAATTTCTTCATATTCATAAATGTTAACACTCTAAATTTATGACACACTCTTCCTCATCAGAGCTGCATAAGATGAAATTTTTCATGCTTTAAACCCCGCTTTCCAATTTTTCATCTCAACCAATTTTAAATGCATTTTTCAACATCATACATGATGATATCTTTTCCCTTTATTTCTTGTATGAAAAGCTGTTCTCACTCCCTCATCCGTATCTTCATTGTCTGGTTACTTGAAGCGTTAAATAAGCACATAAGCATTATCCAGCAATCTCAGACAGTGTATCTCATTTCCAATATCATCTCGATGCTATTATTCTTAGATTTCAATTTTTTTTATAAAGAAAATATACTGTGAAGATGGATAGATAGCTATAGCTACACATGGTGAATGAGTGGATAAGATACAAAGAGTTTCGTTCTGTTCGAGCAACTAATTGACCCGAATTCTTACATAGATCCACTCCCTAGTAACAATAACCTCAACATATTCAAAAGCTTTTCATTTCTTTTATTCTTATTTTGCTTTTAAAGGCTTTGTTTTATGGTTCAGGGGTGGATGTAGAGAGTATTTGTGGATTTTTGTAAGCATTATTAATACAAAATTGAGGAGTGAGGAGAAATGAGAGTATCCAAAACCTCAAAAGTCTGTTGACGAGGGAAAGTTTAGAACAGATTGGAACTAAATACACAAAAATTCCTAGATAAGAATCTTTTGGCATTAGACCAGTGTTGTTCAAACTTTTTAAGTCCTGGTACACTTTAGGTGTAAGACATGACCGAAGTCGCACACATCATCCGGCTCACTTAATTTCCGAGAGTGCCGCAGCTCAAAGTTCGAACAACACTGCTTTAGTAAGTCTTTAGTAATCAAATCTTTATAAGTCTTTAAAACATTCGAAACCTAACCTCAAAAATGTTTCATCCTCAACAGCTATCAATAAAATCAAAATCTTTATTGTTTAAATTCTCATCGATTTTCAATCGATTACTTGCTTTACAAATGAACATGACCAGCATGACCACATAAGCCACAAGCAAAAAAAAAAGAATTTGTCGGTCAAATTATGAGTGTGAGAGAGGAATGTGTGAAAAGGGAAATTACTTTTCAAGGAAATGTGAAATGGATGCGTATGTATAGGTTATTAATTTCCAATATTTTCCACTACATCGACTTCTGATGTCCAACATTTCATTCATGTTTATTGAGAATGTAAAATATTTCATGAGAACAGAGAGCTTTAATATTGACTCAAAATTCTACATCAGCATCATGACGATGATTATTTTTATAGCCAAAAAAATTTAAATATTGATACCCTCAAACCTTTCTCTATGTAAATAGTACATAAAAAATATATTCAATATTAAAAAGCACATCACAATGAATCGATTAATTTATGTGCATATAAATTTTAAAGATTTCAATATGATCATAAATATTCATATAAATGTCTGTTATCCTTATTATTGACATGAAATTGAGATGAACAGGAAAACGAGTGGCAAGAATGGGAAATCAATTGAGGAAAGTGACGGAAGCTATCGCCAATATTAAAGAGAATATTTTTTTTCGTGTTCTGAAATTCAAAGTTGGATGCAGTGGAAGTTTTATTTTTGGAATGGCTTATTGAGCAAGTTGCAATTGTCTCTCAATTAATGGAACTTGTGTGGTTTTTCTTTCCATTTTATGACATCGGACCAAGAGTGCGGAACTGATCAAAATGATCAAAAATTATCAAAATCTGATTGATCAGTTCCGCACTTTTGGATCAGACTAGAAATTCTTAGTTTTGTGTAAGGCACACTTCTAAAGATCAATATTTGTAATACTTTAGAAATCCATATAAGTTTCAAACATCCCGAATCTTTCAAGGCTAGACATCATTAACCTTTAACTTCAATTGCACTTATTCAGCTCATTTGACTCCTATAACCCATAATAAAATCTCACAATTAAATATTTAAATTACATTTTTATTCAATTAAGGAAATATATTCATGAGTTTGTAGCTCCAATTCAATAAAAATCTCGAATTAATGAGATATATTCACATAAAATTTAATTACTGCTCACTTCCGGCTGCTGACATTTGGTGCCGTCTGACTCGGGAACTGAAAAATGAATAACAAATTTGAAATTTTTAATGTGCTTTATGCTTATAAAGCTTCAACTTACGCATTCTGTCGTGCTTCTTTAGCAGCCATGCTAGCTTTGTAAGCTTCCTTCTTTGTATTAGTATAGTCAACCTTTGCAGCCTTCATTTCTCTAATTAACTTCTCAACTCGATTCTTTGCTGCTTCAAGCAACTGAGTTTTTTCATTCAACTCTTGTTGCGATCCTTGTGCTGCCTGTTCTGCATATCCAACTGTCGATTGTGCAACTTGAATCAGTTCAGAGAGCATTTTCAAGAGTGCTTGTGCTTGCTGATAAGCTCGAAGAGCTGAAATGCAAATAATTATTGGAAATTTTTATTTCTTTTGAAATTTATTGAAACGGAAGTAAAGTGAATGGGAAGGATTAATTTTAGTATTTAAAGCACTGCCAATACAAGAGATTCATAAATAATTTTAAACATAAGCTTAGGGGCCGTTCACTTATTACGTTACGCAAGAAAACGACTTTTTAACCCCCCAATATTACAATATGTTACAACTCACAACCCCCCCCCCCCCCCTCCCCCCTTGTTACAATATGGTACAACTCACCCCCCTCCCCCTGAACGTTCATAATTTATTTTATTTTGATAATTTTTTATTCTAAAAAGACGGTTAAATTTCTTTTGTATTTTTTTTCTTAAACATCAAAATACTGTAAAGCTAAATAGGTCATGTTTTGATTGATACTATAAGTATTCTCATGAATTATTGGATTGAGATATAAAGCAAAAATTTGTTTTTTTTACACACTTCTTGACACCCCCCTCCCCCATGTTACATTTGGTTACAATTTTTCAAACCCCCCCCCCCCCCCCCCCCCCCCCCCTTCTCCCCCCTAAAATGCGAACGTAATAAGTGAACGGCCCCTTACCTGCATTTGCATTTGATTCTGATTGTTGAATACTCGAGCTCAAGTCCTGAACAACAATTTCAGCTTCCCTTAGCTCTCTTTCCAGTTCCTCAAGAATCATTTTCTTAGCAGAGAGTGCAGCCTGAGCTGCTTTTGCAGCTTGAATTGCTTTCTCAGCTAATTGGAACTTGGCTTGTTTTGATGCTTCTTTTCCTGCCATTTCTTGAGCCTCTTCAGCCGCTTTTGCTTCTTGTGCTGCTTTCAATGCAATATTTGATGTCTTTCGACTTGCATTCGAATCAGAATATTCATTCCTTCGTTGCTGCTGATCGTTGCCATTTTCTTGATGATTGCAATTATTTTGATCATCGCAATTCATGTCTTGTGAATAGTAAGGATCACCAATGCTTCTCGAAAACTTTTGTGATGAATATTTGACATCATTTTCCACTTCCTTCTTCTTCTCCTCACAATTTGTCAATTCATTGACTTTTTCATAAGCAAATGGATGTTCTATTGGTGAATATTGACGAAGTCGATTCCCATTGATTGTAAGTTTTGAATATGCTGGACTTGCGGATACTGCTGATGCGATAAATGCGATGAAGATTAAAAAATATATTCTTGAATTCATTTTTGCGATGATGATTCTGCTTTGATGAGATTTCAATGATTCCTGAGATGAGAAATGTTGTCAAAGATGAGTTGATTTTTGAAAAAAAAAGTCGATTCCAAAATTGTCTGATCCAGTGATGCATATTATTACTAAGCAGTGCAATAACACTTTTTAAAGGATCCATTCCAAAAACAATATCTGAATTATTAACAAAAAGCATTTACTGGAAGTAACTAGTGTATCGGGTAGAAACCCAATGCGGATATATTCACACCGTACCATCAAAAGTCTTATGGATAGACCAAGATTTGCTCAGCATAAGTTTATAGGGTAGGCGTGAAGTACGACCGAGACCTATATCGACACAGTTCAAAAGTTATACCTAATTTATGTTATAACACTACGAACCAGTATAGCTGATTTTGGTTCAAATCTCGGCCATACTTCACACTTATTTGAACCACATTTTCTCGTAAATGTTAAAATATTATTAAAAAGTAATTAATCCTGAATTATGTCGCTATTTTGTCAAGTGTTTTAAGATAAAGAATTTGTTTTTTGGTTTCCACAGTGAAGAATATGAACAAAATTCAGATGGGGTCGTCGAAATTTTAGATTTCGATTTTTTTTAAGCTATGCATTACAAAAAGTAATATTGGTATGTGATTTATGTCAGAATTATGTCAATTCAAATAAAACATCCGAAAAATTGTTTTGACCAAAGTACACCATAAAAAATCAATTTTCAATTTTGGACTAGGGGCGACCCTAGTCAAAATCAATTTTGTCACTTTTTTCTTCGAGGGTTTATCCAAATGGATTGAAACTTTGCATAAATATGCCAGTGCTTAAAACAAATACAAATAAAACATCTTAAAATTTTTTTGACCAAAGAACCAAGTAGGAAATACATTTTCAATTTTGGACTAGGGGTGACCCTAGTCAAAATCAATTTTCTCACTTTTTTCTTCGAGAGTTTATGCAAATGGATTGAAACTTTGCATGAATATTCAAGTGCTTAAAACAAATACAAATAAAACATCTTAAAATTTTTTTGACCAAAGAACCAAGTAGGAAATACATTTTCAATTTTGGACTAGGGCGACTCTAGTCAAATCAATTTTCTCACTTTTTTCTTCTCATTGAAAATATATTTCCTACTTGGTTCTTTGCTCAAAAAAATTTTAGGATGTTTTATTTGTATTTGTTTTAAGCACTAGAATATTTATACAAAGTTTAATTTAAAAAAAAAATCACAGTGAACTTTTAATTTGAAAAATTCGTAAGAAAGGAAAGTTTTTTTGCTTTTTCTGATGCAACGGCTGTTCCTACCTTGTCCACAAACTATACAGCTCTTCTATAGAGCAGCACGGATCAAATGTAAAAAACTAGAAGTCTCTACGATGTCTTGTTATTGAGATTTCTTGCTGATTAACTTGCTTGTTTGCTTGTTTGCTTGCTTTCAGAAAGCATATTTTGCGATTTTCTCAGCAATGCCGCAACCAATTTGAAATCTGTTTTTTGCAAAAGATGTAAAATTCAAGGCGCAAACTTTTCATTTCTGAACATTTTAAGCTATCTTGCTCCATATTCTCACAAAATTCAAAAAACTGATTTTTCAATCTGAACAAAACCAATAGATTCACACGTGAAAACGGTGTGAATATAAAAATACACAAATCCCTTAGCTACTTCTATTTTATTTTGCATATCTTCCTGAACAGCACTTCTGTCGCTTTAAAACGCATCAAAATCCATCTATTTACCCAAAAGAATTGAAAAGTCAATAGCTTTTAAAAAATATTCTATAAAAATGTTTAATAACCAGTCAATGACAACTGAACATGCACTCAAATTACATCTCGAAAAAAAACACAGCATTTTTGATGTTTTTATGATGAAATTGATCAATAATAAATATTTTTTCTGGTTCAGCTATCGATATGGAAATAAAAATTCATGAATAAAAGAGATGACAATTTTTTTAGACACATGTGCAGCTGATAGAATAACATTCACAGCACGTATTGACAATTTAGATAGAAAAAGAGGAAATTTTAATTGTGCCATTTGCTAAATTTTATTTTCAATATATCGACGACACAGGCTGAACGTTGACGATGAAGATAACAAAAAAAATCGTTTTATTATTCAGCCAATTTTCAATTTTATTATTTTAAATATTTTAAGCATTATAAATCATCAATTTTAAATAATAACAAAAATAATCATAAATAAATTCCATAAGCGCATCCACACATAATATTTTTCATGCACATACACACATGCAGGAATGAGAGGAAGCTTTGCCTTGCATTAAAAAGCTATTTATTGTTATGAATTTTATGGAGACAAATTTTTAGTGTATCGTGGTGTTATGCCTGTGTAATCTCCACTTTATTCGGGACATTTTAAGGTGTGATTGTGTTTTGGGTTGTCTTAGTGGTTTGGCACTTTGTCTCTCTTTGTACATTACTTCTGATCATGGAAAAACGGCTGTGCTCATTATCGCAGCTAAAGTTCTCAAAATGAATGAGATTTGCTTCATATTACTTACAAATCAGCTGTAAGTGGGGGGGGTGGTGGTTGGTAAACTAGAGTATTTCAGGAAGATTCCATTCTGCGTCATGCCATAAAAAAATCCAACAAAATTTTCAACCAGCCTTTTTAATATAAAACAACTCCTTCTCTTCCGCAATATTCCCAAAAAATTAATATTTTAATTATTTTCACCTGAAAAGAATATTTTGGCTTTTTCGCTGAATGAAAATCATTTTTTCCTCCGTCTGTCTCTCCATCTATTTATGTACATCCATATATATAAATTCACACAGACATATTTTCATTATTAATTGCAAATTAATTTTCATAATCCTCGGATGAGAGAGTGAGTGAGACACATTTAATTTTTTTGCATTATAAATATGCATATGCATTGCAAATTGCAGAGGAGACGACCGGTGAGAGACTCGGGGATCAATAATATTAAATATTATTTTTGAAAATGTCAGCACTTTTAAACCGGAAGTTACAATAATGGGAAAAATTTTATTTGGATTTTAATTTTTTTATGGTTGAAATTCGTCAATTTTTAATAAATTTAAATAGAAATGTGAACTTTTTAACGGCCATTCACGTATGACGTCCGAAATTAACAGTCATTTTTCAAAAAAGAACCACGAATTTTCAGGAATTTCTTTTGTTCTATTCTTGCTGACCCCCACTCGCTGGACGTCATAAGTGAAGGGGCTCTTAGTCACAAGCTTGACACACAAAATTCAGAAAAACTTTCCACAAACAAATTGCATTTAATTTTCGAACGATGTGGGTTTTTTTTTTGTATTTTTATCCATGCCAAGGTTTCACGTTATTCATTCTATTTATCAAAGAAATTAAATATCGAGGGCAATATCGAGTAAAAGGCAAGAAATTCATCTAATAAAGGTGTGTCAAGCTAGCAAGAATCGAGGAAAATGCCAACACATTGAAACAACAATGGGATACTAAAAATAATGATAATCCCTTAGGATGGACGTTTGTATTTCCATCCTTAATTTTTAAATGTAATCGATAAGGGACAAAAGGAGTCTTAATCCAATTTAAGTGCACAAAAATTCGGCACACTTAATCGAGAAGTTGAACCCGTTTTTGGCTATGAACCTAGTAAGAAAATTCAAAACTCAAGATTTTACCAAAAAAAACTTAACTCAACTTACAAATTCTGACAAATCAACCCTAACATGCCGTCTACGAACAAAAAAAACTTTTTATTGTAATTTTTATTGCCGTTTTCTCGCTGATGTTGCGTTGGTTTAACGAAGAAAATTTGTGGCGACGCTTTACAGCATTAAGGTGTGGTACTGGACGTCGCTTATGTTCTCAAAGGGGAGATAGAGCAAGGGATGGAAAGAGATGGTGAATTGAAATTGCATACACATTAACACATTTTTTGGGGTCGTTTTGTGGATTGATAATTGAGGTTGGTGATGTGCGTGCGGTTGTATTTTAGGAATCTAGTGTGGACTTTTTAAAGAATCTCCAAATTTTTCTATAAATTGATGCACAGAGCATGAAAATTATGAGCATTTCGAATTGAATAGCTTCAGACTTGCTAAAATAGCATCTAATTATGAGCTGAAGCTAATAACTGAATAATTCATGAGCATTATTATTAAGGAGAAGAATAATTAGCAAATTATCGGTTTATTCTAGTTTATCCACTTAGAAAGCAAACGAGATGACTGCATTAGGATTGAATTATGCTGCAGAAAGGCTCTTAAGTTCATCATTTAATTTTTTAAGTCCATATTTTTGAGTTTTCATAGAAAATTGTTCAAAGGCTTTAATTTTCAATTCAGTCAAGCTTTTTCAATGTCACAGCACCAATAATAAATTCAACAAACCATTCTAAATCCACCCATTCAAAACAACCTCTCGCATGAATAGCTAGCTACTCATTTGGGAAAGAAGACAACCCAAACAGCTGAAATTATTTTCATTTTCTGTAATTTCTATTAAATTAACTCATCGACATTACAAACTGGGGCAATAATTTATGACACAAGTGACTTTTTTTGAAATTTAATCCTTTTTATTTACAATTTAATTATTTTTTTCTGAGAGGGGAAATGACAAATTTTATTCCCGAGTGACTTTTAAATTGAAAAGGATTGTCAGCAGTGAGATTGTTAATTGACATGGAAATTGGATGATTTTTTTGTTGATGGGGGTGTGGTGCTAACCTTTGAGTGCTTGTTGAGACGTTGAATTTGATTCTTTGTTGTTATTCTTTGGATTGTCTTACTATTTAAAAGCTGAAAATCTTATTTTAATGAAGATATTAAAGCAATTTAAATTTGAAGGAGTTTAAAACTTAAAAACCTTTCAAAAATCATAAAAAATAAAACAAAATGTATTTGTGGTTTTGCAAGGAGAGCGATCTATTCAGTGTCAGAGAATAGATTTATGCATCGAGCTTATGACATCGTAGAATCATTGAGAATTTTAAAGAGCATGCCTGGTCTCAACATTCTAGTTTATAACACAAAGTGTGTCAACCGAATTTTAAATATTTAAGAAAGGTCCTTTGAGAAGTCTAAGAAACCAGTCTTTGGTTCCATCCTAAAACTAGAAAAAATACCAAAATCCTTGCTCCACTACAAAATACATTCCCAAAACAATTCTTAAAAATATCAAAAACTTTTTTTTATCAAAAAATGAACACAAAATAAAAACAAATTTTTCATAAATTTTACACAATCAAATGAATTACAAAAGCATTCAGACAAGAGAAGGAAGTAAATTTATGCTGCTATAATTTATAAGATAAACGATGAGAAGAATTTTCACATAAAGCAGGGAGGGAAAAATTGACAAGCCATAAATTGCACATATGTGAATGTGTCAAATAAAAAACTATCGTGAGGTATTTTATTTCATCTTCTTCCCCACTTTTGTAAGTTGAACTTCCAATATTTTTTTTTTGTTGAACCGGAGCAGCAACGAGAGTGTAAAAAAAACTTATTTAATATAACTGAGTGCTTCTTCAACATCCAAGCGGCTGCCAAGATAAATTGGTGAGCGTTGATGTATGCCAGTTGGTTGAATATCGAGAATTTCTAGATCTTTACCAGCACTTGCTTTACCACCAGCTTTCTCAACGATAAATGCCATTGGATTACATTCATAAAGTAAACGAAGTTTTCCATTTTTCGATGTTGCGGTTGCTGGATAGATGAAAATGCCGCCATATTTTATGGTTCGGTGAACATCTGCAACCATTGAACCGACATAACGTGCTCCATACGGCTTTCCTTTTGTCGGATCCTTTTTCGATTGCACATATTCTTGCGTTGCACTGTCCCATTGCGAGAAATATCCTTCATTTATTGAATAAATATTTCCACGTTCTGGTATTCTCATATTCATGTCGGTAAGGACAAATTCTCCAATACTTGGATCATATGTAAAGCCATTAACGCCACCTGTCTGAAGTGCGAGAACGAACATTGTTGCAGATCCGTAGAGTGTATAGCCTGCAGCAACAAGCTTTCTGCCTGGTTGCAATGCATCATTTACATTTGGTTCATCATCTGTGACCTTCTTATAGATTGCAAAAATTGATCCAATCGATACGAGACAATCGATATTTGATGAACCGTCTAATGGATCAAAGCATACAATATATTTGCCACGTTTGTCATGATCAATCTCAATGACTGTTTCATTCTCTTCTGATACAAGGAGGCATGTTGTGTAGGACGATTGAATCATGTTGATGAACATGTCATTTGAGAGAACATCAAGCTTCTTCACAACTTCACCTTGAACGTTTGTTTCGCCTGCAATACCATACCTAGAAGCGAATAACATGTTGTAATTATTTTAATTAACAATGACATTTTACATGTGTAATTTTGAGTCAATTTAATGGAATGAAAGGAGATAATGGGTTATATGTGGATGGAAATAAGGTTTTGTGAATGGTTTGAGGCAATACATATTGATTAGCAAAGAAAAGTGATTTGTTTTGAGTTTTTCAGAATCCTTTGAGACTGAACTTCAAAATTGAATTATTGTGGGTCGATTAAAGCTTGCTTCTTGCTTTAAATGTCTCAATTTCATGAGAATCGAACCCGTGATATTATAAAATTCAAGAAATGTCATGCCCAGCCATCCCTAGATCTGTTTTACAATAACACTAAGATTTATACAACAAACAACCACAAAAAACCAGCGTAAACAAACCAGAACTTATTCCAGCCTAAAATAAATTACATAACTCTCCATATTGACCCCATAAAGTTGTACGATGTTCTATAAAAAATAGGTGTGTTTATAATATTAATAAAATCTACAAGATAGTAATGACTAAAGGGTATGTGTATCTTATCAAACAAACAATACTGTTTAATATGTATTAGCAAACTGTTCGGGACTAAAAATAAATGCAAAATCATCAAGACTTTTGTGTAATATTGATAAGGTTGGGATACTATTGTGTGGATTAAAGGCTTGTTTGAACTTTCGTTATTGTGATTTATTGAATGTTGTATTGATTTAATATTTTTCATGCTATATGGCAAAAGGCTGATAGGATTAATTTTTTAAATTTGCCAAAAATTAGAACTAAAGCAGTCATGTCTCAAAAAAAAATCCATGAACCCATAAAAACATCAAAAATTCTGACGTAAATGATTTTAACATAACAACACTAGCAACACAGATAATAACAGTATCAGTAAACAATTGTACTGATAACAAGGAACACGTTTTCGAGAGAAAATAAGAACCGAAGAACAACAATAAAAAACATCACATACTCAACAACAAAAACAGATTGACTGAGGGGTCAATACACAATTTTTTTTATGACGAATTTATGAATAAAGTTCCAACGATGCCACAGTGTGTACGTGGAGCATGAGTGAATGAAATTAAATTGAATTTTTTTTCACTACTCACAAGCGAGCAATACCAGCCTTTCGGACAGCAGAACCTATGGCCTTGACAGCTGTTTGAACAGTTTGAAGAAGTTGTGTTAATTCACCTGTTGCATTCTGTATATTTGTGCACGTTCCATTTAATTTCGCAGCATCATGAAAATTCAAAAATTTTGTGTATGACAATTATTGTGATTGAAAAACCTTTTTTTGTGATACTCACTTTATGCTTCTTTTGTGCCTGTATGATGAACCTTGTTAGTGTCATGCAATTGACATCGAAGGCTTCTCCTCTTTGAGACATGTCTTCTCCTAAATGGAAGGAATTTTTGGATGGAAAATATTTAGAATTTATAAAGTTTGAATTGAGATTTTAAATTAGTCTGAAAGCAATGACTTGTTAGAAATGCTAGAAAATAAAACAAAATTGGATTTGCAGGAAAAAATATCAAACTACCATAAAAGTTTTTAAAATACAAAGAACTATAAAGTAATGCACACGACATTAAGACTTAAAATTTTTAAATAATTAATTCAGTTTCAATTAACAATTATGACTGAATCCAAAAGAACGAGTCAACAATATTTATGCATCTTCCCCTACCTCAACTATACAATAAAAATGAAATAAAAATCTTGTAATTTTGAATGACAATTTCATCTGAATTAATTATAAATTTTACAATATTTGGAAACGTCATAAATAAAAGACATCACAAAAAAAGTGTGTATTGTGAGATAAGAAATGAAACAAAAGTCAAAAAATAGACTACAAGTGACATAAAGAAGAGTCATTGAAAACAGAAAATTTAAAAAATTCAGTGATTAAGATGAGTAAATAAAATAATTGAATTTAATTGTTCGATTTGATTCTAAAAGCAGTTTAAAATCCTGGATTTCTAGATTAATATGGCAACACTTTCTCAAAATGAATAGGCTGTCTATCGGTTGCAGCCGGTTTTTGGTTGAAATTATCCCGATTTAACATCTGAAAAAGCGGGAAAGACCAAATTTTCAAGTATATTCTAAGAAGAATAGGTGCAAAAAGCGGGACATTAAGGATTTTAGGCGGAACATTGTTCAAAAAAGTGAGACTGTCTTGCTCAAAAGTATGCAGTTAGACAGTCTACCCATAAACTGTAGGTCTAGGTTCGAGTGCATCCCGACTAGTTGAACCCCCATTAGCTGCAAAACGCCTAGCGCACCTTTGGATCAGAATTGATCTTAATTGAAAATGATATTTTAAGACAATACTAATAGCGAGGAAGCTGAGTTGCTTGTCAACAGACTGGAAATCGGAAATCCTCGCTTTTTAATTTAAGTTTAAGATTTAGTGATTTTGGTATGAAATGGATTTTTAAAATTCTCACTATATTACAGGAAGTAAAGGGAGTATATATAAAATATATGTCAATTTTTTTGTTATGTAAAGGAAGAGGTTTTGAGGAGGGATTTTAAAAAATAATAAAATGCACAGTGTAATTAAAATGTATGAAAATTTCAACTAAGCTTAATATACAGCATTATAAATCGAATAAGTGACTAAAAACCACACAAAAATCAAACTGGAATTCTTTAAAAGCGCATTCAAGTTATGTCAAAAATTTGCAAACATGCTTTTTGACTAGTTCTATAGTTTTTTTTGTAACAGTTTTGATTTTCATTAAATTAAGCACAAGGTCAAACTAGTTTTTTTTTGTTCATAGAGATGTGATGCTAATCTTATGATTTTTATTTTGAATATTGTCAAATTGTTGAGCTTCTTTCTACTTCTCTAAGGTAGATAAAATTGACAATTGATTTTTACAGAGCATTAAAGGTTTGACTTGTCCCGTACAATAGACGGTTCAATAGATTCTATCATCGATCAAGATCGCAGTGCCTTCAGCTCATCGCAACGTGTAGTAACACATCGTATGGCTGGAACCCTCTCACATTATTTAAGGTTTGACTTACACCGGTGTCAAAAAAGTCAAAACATTCTACACAAGTCTTTAATTAAATTGATCAAACTAATAACAACTCTTACTGAGGATAAGAATAGGTGCTCTTCAACATTTTTCATTTGATAAGCCTAAAGTACTACTAATAATAATAATAATACAAAAAATTTTATCACACTTGACATTCAAAAAATCGCAAAAGTCAACAACAGAAAGAAGAGAAAAAAAAAATTCAGCAACAAAGATGTTTGCATACATCAAGATAGATAAAAAAGTGTGTGGTTCTTTAAATGTGTGAGAAAGAATAAAGTTAACAGCATAGACACATGCACGTGTAAGCTATTAATAGATATCAATACACACAAAATCAGTCCAATTTATATATTTATATTTTTTACCATCTTTTTCCGATTGCATTTTGACTTTATTTTCGATACGAAAATAAATGAAATAAAAAAACTTTTAATTAACAATTTTTTTGATGTGAAAATAAATTTTTATCACTGCTAACCTTTAATTTTAATCAGCTAGACACCACAAAAAAATTAACCGCAACTGCTCCTCACGAAAATTAAATTTCGACTGTGAACTTGAATAAGAATGAGAGACACAGTAAAAAAAAAATAATAAAATGTTGGAAGTAAACTTGTTTTTGTTATATCATCACAAACATATTTGTGTGTGAATAAACACTATTATCAAAATTGTTTTAAAATTCATGTGGATGTGCCGGGTGGAAGTGTGCGTGCAGTCTGTGTTTTTGTTTTCTTTTTCTCTTGCGTTCGTTTTTTTTTTTTGATTGAAGATTATTTTACTCTGATTGTCGCTGAGAGCTGATTTTTTCTCATGCTTTCTGTTTTGAGAGATTGCTGTTTGGTTTTTAAAGAGAGTTTTTGATCGGTTGTTTGAGAATTTTACATGCAGCATGTAGAAAATTCGAAAAATCTTACAGCTTGTTTGACATTCAAGTGTCATTGGTGATTAAAGTTCACTTACTGCATTTTTGAGAATTTCAGTCAATTGTTGCTTATTTTAATTGTTGACAGCACTTTCTTTTTGCATTGTTTTGAAGCTTTGCATTCCAATACACAAAAGAATATGCTCTGTGGAACTAGTTCATAATTATTGACCATACAGCATTGTTTGATTGTTATATGATAATATTAATCACATAATTTTAAGTCAATTAAGGTTTAAATGTCATATTGAATGTTTTAAAAACATTTGAAATGGCTTTTCCTTATGAAACATGAATAAATAAATAATTAATAAAAAAAAAAAACTTAAACTTATTCAGATCAATTGTGATCCAGAGGTGCGCTAGTGCATTTCACAGCTAATGAGAGTTTAACGAGTGAGGATGTACCAAACCACTGCACTCAAACCTAGACCTACAATTTATAGTGGGATTCGAACCACTCCTTTTGGTGACATTTCTGCCTGTAACCTACAAAGGCTATCTCACTTTGGATACTTCTACTAATGTAGTTTAGGTTCTTCAGGCTGGTTTTTGTGGTTCCCCCAGAGTACATACGCTAGTCACTTTAATTTATCAGATGTTTAAGTAGCACCAAAACCAACATATGCCAACAAGAAACTTATTAGAACATAGATTTAGCCATTAATCCTAAGACAGTGTTTGTAGTAATCTCTACGCAATTCCTTAAGTCAAAAAATTTATAAGAAAGTCTTTCTCGTCTTCTTTGATAATAATTCAACATCCCAAATCACAACTCAGGAAGTACATAAGTTCTTCAATGTAAATTTACGATCCATAATTTTCATTCATTTCCGTTCAAACCACATAAGTTGATTTTCCACCAAATTAGAATCAATGATATTATAATTGATATCAGTTCCGACTAGATATTTTTTTTTGTGGATGTGTAAAACTAAAGAAAAGCTAAATTTGCAGAGTCGAGAGTTTATGGAAGGAAATAATATCAAGTTATTTATGGTAGCTAATTTTCTGCCAATTTTGCATCGCGCGAAATGAAATTGAAATGGAGAATAATGCACAAAAAGAGAGGGAGAGGAAGCGCACCAACAGAAAATGTAGAATGTGCATGAACAATAAATCCTTCAATGCATTGTAAATTTCATTAGATTTATAGCTTAATTGCTTCCTGTTCAAACAAAGAGAGTGAAAAGCTCTATTATCTGCTATACTTCGACCGTACTGTCTATCTGTAATGTTAAGTACTTTATTCACTCACCTCCAAAAAAGCGTGAAATCTCAACAACCCGACAGTCTACTTTGATGATTATAATTTTTTTTTCTCCACAAAGCTACTGCCACTATAAATGTAAATTTTCTCTTCCTTCTTTTTTTTTGTGTGTGGCTCTTGGTGAATCAAATGAGGAAAAATTTTAATTGAAGCAGATTAGATGGTCTCTTGAGCATAAATTTCATGCTTTTGCATTTTAATTAAACTTTTTATTTCAACATTGAAACATCATCAAATTGAGCGGTGAAAGAAATAAGTTCTTTTAATTCGCTTTGTTTGAGATTAGAGGCTAGGTCAAGCAATAAGATCTTAAAATTTTTGACACTTGCTGTTTGATTTGGAGCCTCTATAAATTGGTTTATTGCCTTTTATAAAGTCTTGTAGCAGATCCATAATAGTCCGTTAAAGATCCTTACAAGTGGGTACCAGATAGAGAGTCTTAGTAGAGTCTTGCAGCAGATCCATAATAGTCCGTTAAAGATCCTTACAAGTGGGTACCAGCAAAATATTAATCGATTATTTATTTATTTCTCTTTCCAGGTTTTCTTGGTGTAAGTTGGGATTCATGGTGGACGTATGATGGAATTTCAGGTAAGCACATTATTTTATATTACATAATTATTGATATGCTAGGTTGTGATTTTATTCTCACGCATTAGTACCTCCGTTGAAGTTCAAAATTTAAACTGAATAAAAACCCCAAAAAATTATTGTGTTCAGCTTGATGACTGCACAGATTTTAATATTTAATTTAACCTGCACAATTTACAAAGAAAACAGTCATTCCGATAAACATTCGACTCTTGTCCTCAAAGCCTTTAAATTCATTCTTCACCTCCCTTTAAATAAGAACTCCAGTAACCATGAAAACATGCCACAGCCATGAAAACGGTCGATGAAATAGCGAAAATTCAAAAGTGCCTTAAATCATTTGATTAGTTCCGAGTTATTTAACATTTCATCTTCAATAATAAATCAAAATGAATATAACCGAAAATAAATTCCAATCTATAGACACACACAATGAGTATTTAGTTTCATTTTTATTGTTGTCTTGCCATTGTTCCATTTCGCACACAGGAAATATATTTTTTTTTGTTTCTGAAACTGTGCTGAGGACTAGAAACAGAGTGAGGTTAGCGCATAATTAGATTTTTTTTAAAAGTTTTGAATATTTTTTAAAATTTTTGAATTTTTTTAAATTTTTTTGATTTTTTAAAACTTCTATAAATGGTCAATACAGACAAAATAGGAACCTAATGAAATAATTTCATAATCCAAAGTAAAAAAAAAAACTTTTATTTCATTTTACTCGTAAATTCATCCTAGATTTCGCACACACAAAAAAAAGAAATAATAATTTAGTGAAGCGTTGAGGAAATTGACACGACATGAACAATAATGGAAAATGTTTCATGCAATTCCAATGAATAAATTCCTTTTTTTTTATTTCCCTTCGCTCTCGCAGATATTATTTGTTTATGTTGTTGTTAAATGAAATAAAAACTGTAATAAAATAATATGTTATAGTAATTGAGTATTGGATTAATTGGTCTTGGGAAAGACATAGTTCAAATGAACAGGAAATTTAATGGAGGGAAGATTTAAATGCAGTTTATTTTATTAAAGTAAAATTTATTAAGCACAAAAATAACAATGAATTTATCAGATTTAAATCAACATTCACAAGACAGACAATAATATTCAATTTCAATCAAAAGCAGCATATTAAATCAAATCATGGTCAATGTCTTCCTTGAACCTGCAAAAATCTCATGAAAATTCAATAAAATCATGAATAATAATTCAATATTTATTATGACAAAGATCTCTTTATAGCAGAATAAATTCTTAAGCAAAATCAAAATTTATGTCTTATTCCACTTACTTCCGAACTTACCACAAAATTTATATACAATCGAATATTTCATCACTTGGTTATTGCATTAAAAGGGAGATATTTTATGGTATTGAATGGAATAAAAGTCCTTCTATTATTTAAAAGGCAAGAAGAAAGGAATTCATGCACTAAAAGCAGACAGAGACGAAAAAAAAGGCACTGAAATATTTATTGTTATCATCATTTCTATTTTCCAATCTTTTGAATCTCTTCTGGGTTCTTTTTTCGGAGATATTGTTGAATTTCTTAGGCAGTCGTGCTTCGTTTTGGTCCTCTTAGATTCAATAAATGGAATTAGATAGAGGAGGAGAGGGATGCTGTGAGTTTAATGGTGTCTTGAGCGCATTTTTATGTTAACAATCAGAATTTTGCGAAATTCTAATCAAAACTTAATCAATTTTAAGGTTGAATCAAAAATTGATAGGAATCGAACCTATAACATGATGAAAATAGTAAATTTGATCTACTGCATGCCCAAACTACCATTGAACCTTTTATTCTTAACTTTTGCATTCGTCTTAATTTGGTTTACTGTCGCAGATTTAGCTCAGCTATCACATCAAACTCTCTCGAAATTCAGACTGCCGAACTCCCAACTTTAAAGTATACCTGAGACTCTATCTCAATACCCGATTATTTCATTTCAATTGGCCATATCCCCCAACATTTTCAACTCAACATAAACATCACTCCATCCCAAAAAATCTCAGTTCATTGTTGATAGAGAGATTATTTTACGTACGTAGCAAAAGATTCCTAAAATTATAATGCAAATGTAAGAAAACCTTTCCTTTCGATGTGCAAAAACCGGAAAGATTCCAAGACACACATACACTCATGCATGCCGACACTGAGAGAATTGTTTTTGTGTGCCAGAAAATCCGGAAAATTGTATTAAAATAATTTCTTTATTCTATTAAAATTCATGTTTGAACTCCATCGGATCCTTAAAAAGTAGAAGGGAATATTTTTTTAAAGACGATAAATAAATAAAGTGGTAAATGGAACAAACTGATGCTGTGAATCAGTTTAGTAATATTTATTATTTTCCTTGACTGTAAAAACAACCTCCAACCATGCACAGTTCCACATCTATTCTGTTAAATGGAGAAGTAAAATATGAGCAATTTAGGGATGAGAAAATTTCTACTAAACTAATCGATTTAATGTTATTTATTTGAGAACAAAGTTTCTGTTTGAAAGAGTTTGAGGAAGTAAAATGTTAGGAATAAGAAAAGTCTCAAGATGAAGGAGAAAATGTGAATAAAAACGTGAGAAATTTACACAATTTAAGGTTTTGAATTTGAAATTAACAAGTTTTTAATTTAAGTGAATGGTTTTTTAATGCTTGAGTTGATGATGGTCAATATTAATAAGGTCATGGATTCTAGGTTTACAACAGTTGAAAGGCTTTTCATAGAAATTAAGGCAAAAAAGTTCCGACTCGCCCTCAAAAAAATCTGAAGAGCAACATTAAGTTTTAAATCATAACGATGAGCTCTTACATAGTGTATTTATTTTTAGATACATCCCTAGCTTCTTTTTCTTAAAGTTTTGCTTTATAAAAGTCTCCATTTTAAAGACCCTTCTAATGCAAGCTATTTATAGCATCAATGAAATTTCACGGTCAGTATTGAATTCTTCTGTAAAAATATTGTCAATCTGATAAAATTCAGAACATTGTCCTTCAACAGCACGTGCCATGAAGGAAAACTTATTGTGTTGTCTTGAACAAAAATGTTTGTGTAGGCTGAGAAATATTTTTATAACCAAATCGTAGCCAATGTGAGTTCAATGATGAAATACTTCGTTTTGATCATGTATAGGAAGTTAGGAATTCCATTCAGAATACTATGCTGATATTTAACCCTTTTTGAAGTAACTCTTATATTTAGAAATGAATGAACATTCAATAATAAGTTGTGGGTATGAAAGTTACTAGAGTCTATGTAGATAGTATAATTTTAAAACTTTTTCGTCATTGACAAAACCATTGCCGCAAAATGTATCGTCAAAAATGAATGACTTCTTCAAAGCTCAATGCGGTGTCGAAGCAGTGTGGAATTTAAGGGTATGTAGGCAATACTGCCAGGGCGAGAGTAAAGACTCTGTTGTCAAGCTAGGCGACCGACCAGATATTTGTAACATTCTTTTGTAAGGATGTGGGTTCGATTCCTACCAGAGAGATGTTGATATGACAAGAATTCGCACAATTCTCACGACATTACACTCAACAATCTCTTAATTCCTTAAATCCCAGAATCTCTTTAAAACCAAGCAACATTTCTCAACCTTCAACCATTCCAACATCAACATTAATCCACAAAACCAATAACAAATTCCATTAGAAATCACAACCCCTACTAAAAGTCTATGCCGTCTTAAAGAAAACATAAAGCAATAGACCTAAAGCTGAAATTCCTTCACATAATATCTAATGCACTGTAAAAAAATTACAACATAACCATTATCATTGTCATGATGATCAAATGAGGCGAATGGCAATAGAAGTTTACTCACACAAAATGGCACAATAAATAATCCAGCACGCGTTTCAATTTCTATCATGGCAAGTAAAAATAAAAATCATAATAAAATTCATTTTTATAGCTCAAAATATTGAGCCACTTTCGATAGAATCACGAAAATCGAATGATTTTAAGATTGAAATTGGGTTCGCACTTGTTGCATAAGAAAATAAGGAAGAGTAAAAAAGGCAAGCTGTTGGGTGCCAGGAACGTTATTTATATACATCCTTACTTATTGTGTGGATGCTTTTTTTCTGTATGATGGTTAAACCCACATCATCATCATCATCATGATCCACACATTTCATAATATTTTTATTGTGTTTTTCTGTGTCTATTGGAAAGAAGAAGGAAAAAAAGATGCTGTGTGGTGTGTTTTGACGTGCAAAGAAGTCAAATGTGTCTGAAAAATTTCAAGGATTTTTTTTCTTGTGAGAACTTTTTGGTTTGCTGTCATTTGAGATTTTTTTTTTGATAATTTAATACAGACTTTAAGGTTTAAAGGAAATTTTTTGAGCATATTTGACTTTCAACTAGCCAAATGACAGCCTAATACTAAGAACAAAGTGATGCGCAGTTCAAAATGCACTTGCAGTGACTTGGTACCCTCAAGGGTATCATAAGTGATGCAAACATTGTCAATATGTGCTTCTCGGGAACTACCACTCATTCGCTCTGTTATTTCAATAATATGAATCTGTATCACAATGGCTTTCAGTTCCACTCTAGAAAAACTGCAATCACAGTAACTAAATTACCCCCATTTCTAGCTTTACAATCAACCATAATAGCATAATACACAAGCATAAAAAAAAATCATGACAATATGAATTGAGTTAAAGGATAAGGAGGAGAGGGCAAAGTGAATGAAAGAGATATGTGAAATGAATGTCATTTAAAATGAAAAATTGAAACATATCTCCTTAAAGAATATCTCTAACATATACATAACATTACGCTTATTATGTTGTCAAACATGAACTTGAGATGAACTTCAAACTTCTCCTCCCAAACGTATATCCACAGACACACATTTTTTTCTTTTTCTTGCCTTTTTCTTTCCTCTCGTTTAGTTATTTTTATGTGTCGACAGTTGATTTATGCTTCGTTCCTGTGCATTGAGATAGAAAATGTACATTTAGTTTAGAAATTCATGGTTTCAG